TATAAACACAACCCTCATTAAGATGGACGATACGGAGGGTGGCGAGGGGGAGGGAGGGGAGCAGGGGACGAGGGAGCGGGGCGGGGAAGGAGATGAAGAAGAAGAAGCGAGTGGTACTTGCACGCAGAAACGACGACGCCGGCCGCGTTGAATTGCTTGCGGCTACCCAAGTCGGCCGGCCGGGGGATTGCAGGATTGCGCGCGGTTTGATATCATCGAGAGCGATCGTCCTCGAGCCCAATATTATCTTTCCTTTCGCAATTGCCTTCCGCGGCCCCGATCCATAGCGCCGAGAGACCGCGGGGCGCGTTAACTTAATCTTAATTACGTTATTATATTGATGAAACATGATTGCTCCTTTTACATTCATCGTATACGCTCTTTAAATGTAAGACAATTAATTAAATGATTATCCTTATACTCCGCGTACTCGGCAGTTTCCATTGACTTGGCATCAAACGTTAGCGACCGGGCCACGGCCACGGCCGCGGCGCGGGGCGTGCCGCGCATATACTTACGCGTTCGATCAAGTCGATGAAAAGTGCTCCGCATATCGTTATCGTGTTACTCGAAATGCACGCTGTCTACGAGGTGGCGCGAGAAAATCTTACACATCTTCCCCGTGAAAAGTATAGTGACTTAGGATCCGTTCCACCGAGTTCCCGCATTTTATAGTGGAGACAACTTGATCTCCCGTCTACCCTCTCCCTCCGTCTCGTCTCGAAGGCCGCTTCTCGCAGCGAGGCGAAGAAATGTTAGATTTTTCTTGCGCCACTCCATACGCTCATGTGATACGTGTTGTATCGAAATTACACCGCTAAAGCGTTGCGCGCAGCGACCACATATGCACGGCGAATGCACCCTAGGCGCATTCTCGCGCCATCCTCGGCGCGTCGTCGCACGCGCGCTCGCGCGCGTAACACCGTTTCAATTTGCGTTCGTACAAAAATATCGTCGAACATGTATAAAATTGGCTCTACCCTCTCACCACAAGCAGGTTGGATATACTACCGCAGCGTTAGCGAAAAAAAAATTCTTAAACGTAAATCCATAATTGAAGTGTGTTATCTTTGAAGGAAGTAAAAAAAAAAATGAGGAAAAAGAAAATCCATAAGTTTGTCATGCATCGCGTTCACTTACTGTACGCGTAGGCACCTTCGTTGGCATGTTTATCATCGTACGTATACGTATATTTATATATATCCATATTTATATATTTATATTTATTTGTATTTCATTACTTCTATAAGCGGATCACGCGTAAGAAGCAACGGTGAAGCGGGTAAAGGGAAGCTATACCGGCCAGGCCACAGAATGTCGGCGTATACCAGTTACTTCTGTAATGTGAAAGTAATCGAATCGCGCTTCGGAAATATACACATCGGAAAAATACGAGCCGCCCCCGCCTGCGTTTTCTGCATTTCAATTTTTACTCTTGCGGGATCAATGCCGCTTGATTTAAGGGGGTGAAATTCCATTTAGTTCGGTGTCGACGGGATCTCGTACGGGGCAGCGCAGCGCCTAGCAATATCCATGGCAATTAGATCGAATAATTAAAGCGTACACTGGAATTCCGATGGACGTAACATACGCGCGCTCTCTGCCGCTCTGTATCCTTTTTCGTTCGATGTCGGCTATTGTTGTTGCGTTAGCGACCACTAGCCGTTAACAGTGAGTTACACGTGCAACCAACGTAGTTGATAGACGCGAAACATTCGCGAATGGATATTCTGTGTGTCTTGTTTGTGCCGAAAAACCTTTCTGATCTCAAATTTTATCCTGCATACGATTATTTTAAAATTAAAAACAGATCAGTATATTGAAATATTATTTTAAATAAAGTAGAATTTTGTCACGTCCGTATATGAAGAGTCACGGATCGTGTATGCGAGCCGACGAGTTGAAATGGAATTTCGATAACGGCTGAACCGACCAAGTTCTGAGTAGGCTCAATCGATAGCTTGGGTTTAAATTATAAAAAATTTTTGTTTCTCTGTGTCTTATCATCGTCTGTTGTCCTTTTAACTTTTTCGACACAATGTAATTAAGCGCGTGATCGGTTGCTTACGTACGTAACGTTTTCGAGACGCGTGAATAAAAGCAGAGCTCGTATAGTATCGCGATTCCTCGCCACGCGATAAGCAAACGTCAAACACCAGAACAATCCCAAGTTTGGTTAACTGTAATGCAAACACTTCAGAACGATTGGAGACTCCCATTTTGTCTCGCTGATACCTTTGTTTGTCTTAACGAGTGTATTTTAATCCTCAAGTTTCGCAATTAATCCGATCTCCCTATAAGTCCATCTTGTGTGCTTTGGTGAAATCGATAAGGCTGGTATAGATAACAGATTTGTATTTCTTGATGTTGCGGCGTATTACATCTTTCTGCTTTCTATCTATCTCTCTTTTTTCTTGAAGTTTTTTAAAGCAAAATAAAATCGAAATCGGAAAATTTAGTTATTTTCTATTGCTACACCACAAATAATATTCAATCATAAAATGCTATAAATTAAAATAAACAGATTAATTATCTTTATGACGTTCTTCCGAAAGTTGTGTATATAAATTATAAAATATTTCATATATCTCTTATTTGCAGAAACTGACTTTTCGTTTCTTTCTATTTCTCTGCTTGCCGAGCAATGTGAATTTGACAAATACCTTTTATTTGCGGTTCATACAGAAAATGTTGTACAATGACTGTTACAAACTGGATTTTTCTGTGTTTGACATTATCGACGCGGCTTTGTCCTTTAGAATTTTCTCAAAATGTCTGACGATGGAATTGCGGACCGATGGAGAACGCAATATTTTATTGCTTACGTATTCAGAAACAAGTTTTTTTAATCATACCGATCAACTTTTTTAATTTGATCTTTTTGATTGCCTCTCTCAGCTCGAATATGTCAATCCGAATTGATAAGCTCACATGTCACGACGTAAATTAACCTGGCCGCTATGGGATGGCTAAGGATAAGGGACATGACTAAGGTTACGTCGGAAGGGGGTCGAGGTTACGTGATTCTGCTATGGAGAGATAGCTATCCTCGATGTGATCCTACCCCTCTCCCCCCTCTCTCTATCTCTCTCCCTCTCCCTCCCTTTACTCTCGGAGCTAGATTCAACCCCATCAAGCGTTACCCCCGCAAGCTTAGCTTAACCCCGAGACGCCACAAGAGGCAATTAACCTTCCGCCAACCCCTTTGCGCGCGAACCTTTTACCCCTCTTCACCGAGCTCACCACGTTTCTAGGTCCTACCTCTGTTTCTCGTTCCGACTCAAATCCCTTTTCCCTCCTTCATCCCTGTATCTGTATTTAGCCCGCCGCTCGAGCTTCTCGCCGCGCCGTAACCGTTGATATCCTACGCTACACGTCTGCATAATCACGTTCAATTCCCAATGCTAATTAGAGTCCATGCCGGGTAGCCATGCCGGTAGTCAACGTATACGCGAATACGCGTCAACCTCCATCACCCGCAGAGTCACATCGGTGCCGGAGACGTGTCCCACATCGCGTCACGTCGTCTCGAGAGAGAGGAAAAAAAAGGGGACGGTAAAAGTAGCTTGTGAGGGCAGGGCAAAGCGAAGGGGAAAAGGGCACGGCGGCGACGGTGGCTGCTGCGGCGTGGCGATGCACGTGGGCGCAAGAAACCGACCGAACTCGCGCGCGCGAAATCGATTACTCTCTTCGCAGCTTCGAATTTTTGCGGCCGTTACATTATCAACTACTTACCGGCGGAAGTGGTGTGGCGAGACGGAACACTTTTATCACGGAACAAAGTAAGAAATCGATTTAGCCTCGGCGTGAAGCGTGTGATTCTCGGTATGCGTCTCAGATCGGATGCGGATTAAGTATCGACACGATATTACGAGAAAGCTTCCCCTTTCCTTTTTTTTTCTCCCCCCGTTTATCGCGCTCTTTCAATCCGCTCTTCTGAGAAGCGTCCCCTTTTGGACGGCGTCGATTTTCGTTACGAACGACGGTACGCGCACGCACGAAGGTCGCCTGGACATTGAACGTTACGCTAATTAAAGGTTGCCGGTACGGATCGTAATTGCAACCTTGCTCCTCCTTCCACGAAATAACCGGCCACCCAAGAGACAGACGAAATTGATGATATATACGATTTCATTGCTCGCCGCGATGACCTTGACCAGAAATGTCGATTCAAAGACACTGATATTTGTGCCTTCAATAAGAGCGACAGATGTAGCGAGTAATCAAGCGCACAATTGCGCCTAATTATTTCGTTCAGTAATCCACCGGCATTATCAGCACGTGTGCATACACGAGTGTGTAATTATGCCACTTTAAACCGGGGAGACGAAGCTGCAGGAGCAACTTCGATCAAGTGATACGGCGAAGTCGATCGGTTTCCTTACGTTGGGTCAGCTGCGAGGAAATGAAGTTTGGGACGAAAAAGAAGATGCGTCTGTAATAGTGTCTAATAATGTGTATACGAGAACATTCGTAGAGATGGGCAGCGATCATTTTGCTTCAATTTTTTTTTTAATCGTAGCGTACGAACGTGTCCCTCTATCGGTCTATCCCGACGCGCGTTCAGACAAACTCCGCGATCTGCCCATCTAACCGAATCTAATTGAAATTAGTAGAACGCCTCTGCAAAGCTTCCACCCTTCTACAAGGTAAGCGTGGGTGGGTAAAGGGCATGCTCCACTAAAAGCTACGTATATTGGCTGCAACCTCGCAATGCGGTACACTCATAGAAGTTTTGTATATTTATAAGTACGAAATAGCGAACCATCCGAATTTCTTTAGAAAGATTCCAAGAGAGAGCCGCGTGAGAGTGTTACTTTTGCTGTAGATCGCCTCGAGAATCGTGACACGAATCGCACGACCCTCTTAGCGCCGGCACGCGCCGGTTTTGAGAGAACTCACAGGTCCATGTGAAGTCAGCCAAAGATTCGTTAATAGCGATTTATACGCAGGAAGACGAGATTGACGATATGCCGTGGGGAGCTGGTGGTGGAAGTCGTTCAGAAACGACGCGCGGAGTATCCGCCGTCGTACAACTTACAGAGACTGTCGGTGCGCCCGGGCATGGAGTGCATACCGGGCACGGAAACGGAGACCGAGAGCGCCTCCTGGTGCTTCAGCATCTGCCGGCGTCGCTGCCAGGTGAAGGTCCATGCCGCTATGATGGCGATCTGGGCGACGAGGAAGACGGTGCCGGCTACGATCGCCTCCCCCAGATTGATGCACATCCCCATTGTCGACGATATGTCCTCGCTCTCGACGAAAACGGTGTCCCTCGTCGCCGAGGTGGCGTTCGGTGACTTACCGTCGCGCTCGAAGCCGAACTTGTCCGTGATCTGGATGGACTGCACCAGGAGGAGGTCCTCGCGGCTCTGGGAGCCGACGGCGGTGGAGCGACGACGGCGACGGCGTCTGCCGAAGGAGATGACCGAGCGCAGCTCACCGGTCGTCTCCTCCTGATCGCACTGCACGGGCTCGCAGGTCGGCATGCACGGGGTGACCAGAGCGCGGAATTGCACCACTTCCGAACTTGGGAACTTGAAGGCGTCAAAGTGCGACAGCAGTATCTGTAAAACAAAAAAGAGAAAGAAGATAAGTGACTTGAGAGTTTGTAAGAATAAAAGGAAATTACTGACGAGGGCGTTATACAAATCATAGAATATCTAATTACGAGAGCTAATAGAAGTGCTTTACGATTTTATGAATGCGAGAAATCAATTTAAGACAGTGGCATAAATTACTGCTTCGGACTAATTGAATTAATTTGAATCCTTTTCGCCGAGTAGAAAATTATTGCAGCGTTAGGAAGCGCATAAATTTAAAAGAGCGATGTTTACGCGTATAGCTTATTTAATTTAATAGAATATTAAGCTAAACATTTTGATTTAATTTACGTGAGAGAGAGAGAGGGGGGTGGGGAGGTGTGCGTAAAAGATTTATATCTTAATTTTCTCTAAATTTGATGCTAATAATGATGACAAATAAGCGAATGTCGTGATCTTTGCTTTTTAATTTCCGACACGGCGTGTAAATACATTTCAGGGAAGAACAGGAAATTCGATACGTGGAATGTAATAAAACGAACTTCCTCGTACTCCATCGGTCCCTTTCGACGGATTGCAAGTCACGTAACCAATTGTTTCACGCCGTTACTTGTCGCCTCGGATAATACATAAACACCTGTGCCGAATGGCTCCTCGGAACGCAACGATTTCGCCGCTCGGAGCTTTTGTCGTGTTCGCATACCGTTAGCAAACTACAGCGCCAATATTATGACATTTGCGGCGCGTTATATCGTCACCACTTCTCTTTCACCCGTTCTTTATTATCCTGGTACTTACGTATAGAATTTCCAGAGTTTTTTTCATCGTAAGAAACGAATTAAAGTGCCATCAGGCGACGACGTTAACTGAAAGTGGTGGTGTTTGCGTCGGATTTCGAAACACCGACAGATTTATACCTGGCTTTTTTTCACCAAGTTAGAAACTGCCTAACAATAGCAAATGTAATCAGCGTGAGACAGCTGCAAAACGCGCGCGTATCTTATTGTTTTTTGTTTTTTTACATACTCGGTAATTCATACGCGATGTCGGTGGCTGTCGACTCAACTAAGCAGCGTCGTGTCGCATTAATTCTGAAATTCCGTCACGGGCGGTCGTAGAATTCAGTGTGGATGCGGAATAATGGTAAATCTTACCCCATATGTCGCTCTCACATAAATTTTCAACTATATCCCAAAGTCAGCTCGCCGGGGCGCGACGGCGCGATTTTACTCTCGCGATCGCGGGGCACGCGGCGGTGTAAGGAAGAAAAAAAAACCGCTTATGGTTCTTACGACAGACGAGAGGGATTACAGAATGCGGATGTCAGGAATCGCGTAACACGGGCGTCGGCCGTCGCACGCAATATGCGTAAGAGATGATCGCTTCAAACTGGTTTTTCACGTCCCCGCGGCAGCTGCGTCCAATTTTTTTCTCTTCGTTCTTTATTAGGTAAGGCCATATAACGGCAATTACACAGGATTATGACATGAAAAACAGCCCAAGTACCCGCTTTTACGCGCGCCATTAGAGCGCGCGTATATCCATCCCGGCAAATGGCGCGACCAAGCGCATCGTTGTAATTCCCATTTTCTCGCGACAAGCGGATCTATCTGTTAAAATCTTTTTTATTTCGTTTACAGCCTATCGCGCTTATATTGCACGCAAGTTTTTCCACCATCGCCTCGGTACACCGCGTTGATCGGGAATTGGTACGGGGAATTCAAGTCTCTCTCTCTCTCTCTCCTCCCTCTCCCCTCCTCTTCCTCCTCCTCTGTTTCTTTCTCTCTTTCTCGCTTTCTCATAGTCTCCTACAAAACGAACGTATGATAATCACTCGTGTTCGCTCGTTAGGCTCGTCGTCCGCGGAGTAATCTCGCGATCATCGTTTTACCCGAGAGGAACGCCGCGCCGGCCGTAATATATTCATAGGTACGTCCGTGCACCACGGCTCGTCATTGATTTCTCTTCATTCAGATCATTCACTGCACGCTCGCAGGGTCAAGTCCCGAGACGCGATCTTTCCCGAAGCTGAACTCTTTGAGAAACTGAGAAAGGCCGGGTAGGTACGTAAGGTTAGGCGCCACGCTCGTGTGCACGTCGAAAACTGGTTTCTGCGGCGCATCACCAAGTTCATCGTATTTACACACCGGAGCGCGTATATTATCGGCGGGAAGTAAGACATTAAAATATGCTTCGTTCTCCACGTACAGCTTCATTTAGCCGTTTCTTTGCCTCGCTTGCCCGCGTCTAGTGGAACGAGCGGAACTTTATTAACCCAACGTCATCCCGCGCAGAAAGAGTAGCGGAAGGTCCATTCTCCGCGGGGGAAAAGCGAGAGCGATTGCACATTCGTAGCGGATGGAAGAAGAAGCGTAAGCGGATCGAAGGAAGAGGAGGAAAGCCCGGGGACGCGAGAGTTTGAGAGGCGGAGAAAGAGAGAAACATAGAGAGAAGTATGTACGTAGAGCTGTACGCGCCGAGTAAAAGAAACACACAGCCGCTGTATCCGCGGCATCTGGTACGCGCCGACGATAAGTCTCCTTCAGCGGCAACGACGTCGGCGATGGGAAAGGACGGGAAAGAGGAGCCCGTCATAAATGTACCGCATCAGATCAGTCAGATCGTAAGACTCGCCGCCCGCGCTTTTACGGCGCGGCTCAACCTGATCCCGCTTTGTCTGCTTTATAAGTCAGCCGCGGGGGCTCTCTCTCTCTCTCTCTCTCTCTCTCTCTCTCTCTCTCTCTCTCTCTCTCTCTCTCTCTCTCCCCCCTATCCGCCTTGGTTCATCCCTACACGTGTGTAGGGGGGTTGCGCGCTCCCTTACGAGTTTACGTACACGGACGTGGCGGTTGAGAAATGTTTCCAATTTCATTCAAACCGGTTGCGAAATGGAAGAGAGCCTTCGTACCGCGGCCCGGTTACGTGACGGACATACCGAAAAGCAGCCGAACTTTTGGCAAATTTCTGGTTAGACGAGGCGCAATGCTGCACCGTCACCGAGGATGCCGCGCTCCGCGCGCGCTTTCACCACCGACGATCGTTTCTCTTTTTATCCCTATCTATAAGGATTAATAAAATCAACGGCGATGTGTACCGGTTGACTTGCGCGACGCGTTTGCTTGTTTATTTTACGAGCCACGTTTGTACGAGACAAATCTTTCCTATTCTCAGACGGGGTTATTAATGGCACGAAGCTCTTACACGTGTAGAAGAAACTTTCATATGTAGAAGATGCGACATGCATGGAAGATATTTTATACCAACGGTATAAATATTGAGAAAGTTTAGGATCTTTATCTTTAGATATTAAACAATTTGCTTTTCGAACAGTTCGTTAAATTACAGATTTCAGAGTTCGACAAACATTTATATAGTTTTTGTCTTACATTTGCAAAAATAATTTTATTAATTCGACAGAAGCGGAAACACTCATATTTCCTTTCAAAATTTAAGTCTATATTCCTTATATACTTTTCAACATTTATTAAGCATTCTTTAATGGACATCAATTCACTTGCTCTGAATAACTATCGGAATATTAATTAGATAATTAATTATTGTAATGGTAATCGCAAACGTTCTTATCAACTTGAAGCTAACGTATAAGTACTAGTGTTCTTGGTAATAATTAATTATTAATCCTTTATTAACTCGTGCTCACATCTGCGGGAGGGAAAACATCTGCCAGCCTCCTGAGCTGAAGAAAGACAAGGAATGAACAAGCAACTTCCTGCTATCGGTATATCTCGGGTCAAACGATGCCCCTTCGTTTACCGAGAATCAATGTTGCGAACGTTTATTACCATATCATAATGACGGTATACTGTCGCAAACGACGGAGATTATTGATAGCTGATAGCGTGGCGTATATCAAAGTTGTTGTCAGGCGTTTTATCATTCATGCCAGTTCGACAGGCAAATAAGGTGCGTACGGATAATAAACGGCGTGAAATCTTCGCGATGAAATCTTCTTTTTCAAGTTACGTTACGCTTCTACAGATTAGAATTTACATACATCCCGTCTTGATTAAACGCGAGAGATGCAAAATTGAATACAAGCGAGAAAAACTTTTCTCATTCTTGGCCGCTCGACAAAATTCACCCGAGAGATAAGCAAGCATCAACAAGATCTCTATCTTCGTATCGTAGCGCTCGACAGGAAATGGGGTTAGCCCTTCGTGATCAGCCGCGGTCAGGAAACGAGATCAGCCAGAACGTGGTGGTGCGCACGTTCTAAACCGGAAAAGGGCGCCACGACGCCCTTGATACAGGAACGACTGTAGGTGATATATCTTGATGCCGGGCGTCTTACCGTACGTACCCGATATAAATTTACTCTTTGTTTCTACTACGACTGTTATTACTTTCTAATAAAGCGATATTGCGCCGTGGCGCGGCCGTGCTCGCGCGAGCAAATGATGTGGAACGACGAGTTAACGAGGCCGTGCGCCTCTCTCTCTTATTGCTCCACCTTCGCTCCGGCTCCACTCGTTCTCCTACCTGCCACTATCGTAACGATCCGTTTGTTTTACTCGTCGACACGTGAAGCGCATCAGCCACGCGGTCCACGACCGCGCGCGGGCACAGCTGGTCAAATGTTGCGCGCCACGAACACAATGTAGCCAAAGAAAATCCTTCGTGTTCGCACTTCCGCGATACAAAGAGAAAAACATAATTGGCAAAGTCCAAAGCCGGTTATATCGCCGCGCCGCCGGTTAGACTAACGTAAGAACGACTGCTCGAATTATCGGCAAACATTTTTATAGGTTTATTAATGCCCAGCGCGCCGCGCCGCGCGCGGAATCGTAATTCTCATTGCGGCGCGGCGGCGCGGCGCGGGCGCGCGCGTCCGACGTTATATCGTGCGAGTCATCGTGCAAAATGTACGAGCGGTATATGTGTAATTGGTCTATCGAGGTCAATACGTGGCGATCGCCTATACCTATTAACCGCGCAAGAATTATTGTACTTCCGCCCTAATGCATTTTCGCTCTCCAGCTCACCCACGATATACTTCACGCATCGCGCGAGGAAAGAGTAGAGGATTAAACTATTTTTTCGCGATCTAATCGCGATCGCGGAGTCAATTCCCATGTTACCTTATGCGGGAAACGCGGAAGTAATAATCGCGGGCTCTATATACAAGCTCGGTCGTTTTGAAACGCAACGGTATTCCATTATTTAATGATCCGTCTTCATACATTTGAATGAAAGACGTCCATTCTCAATCATATATCGCCTCTTTTTTTTAAAATAATTTTATATGAGGCAGACCGTGAGAACTTGTGCGACAAACGTGGCTTAATTGTTAAACGTTATTTTATAGAAAAAAAATTATATAAAAGCTATTTAATAAAAGTTATTCGTACGAGTAAATTACGAGTAAAAATCAGAATATTTAAGGATGCCGATCGAACGAATCTCGCTGTTAAATTCTTATTCCCGGCATTGGGGGGTAATCTTACGCTCCCTTATGTGGAACACGCGGAAAGTAATGATCGTTGTGCCAGACCAATGTGCCCGCATGCCATGCATGTCACGGCACGTCATCTCCAAGACGGCGGCGCATCATCGACGCGACCTATTACAGGCCGGGCAAATTGCTTCCCGTCATAAAATCCGTTCGGGTGATGGATTAGCATGAAGTCAGATCGACCGGTTGACTCGTGTCTGCTTCTCCATCTCGCTCTTTTTCCATCCGGTCGCTTTACGCCCGCGCGTATTTTCGAGGTACGCGCGCATTTCCACAAAATACTCGTCAACGAGCATCGACGTTATAGGCGTCAATCATCATGATCAACTTGTCGGCCTCCGGGTATCGTGTACGATCGTCAAATTTGAATCGATATATATTTATCCGTCCTTTCTATTATATCTTCAGAGCAACCACGCGCGTGTACAGGGTGTCTCGGATTTTACCCGACAAATTATTACGAAGTTATAAACAAATATTAAACACGTAATAAGTAAAAAATGGTCATGTGACCTCTGAGATCGTCTGATTTAACGCCTCTTGATTTTTTCTTATGGGGGACTTTAAATAAATAAGGTTTTTAAAACTCGGGATAGGTTTGTACGACATGATAGTTTTTATTCAAATAGCTTTTCCTTCATTGTTTACTTTGTACCGGCTTACGACTGCGATGCATGAAATGATTGAGTGGAAAGACGTTTCTATTAAAGCGGTATCAAGAGGAACATTTAGAGCAAATACCGACTACACTCATTTCCTTGGAAATAATTTTCCAGCGCTGCAGCGCTACGTTAAGGCTAAGAAAATTAGAAAGAAGATATTAACCGCGAGGGAGAAGCTTCCGTTTGTCTGTAACATTTTATTTTTCGATTCCACCGATGGCTTCTTTTTTCTCACAAGTTTAATTAAGTGCCGGACAGGATTTTTACAAAAATGGCGAAATTATATGATACGCTGGAACTTACCTTGCCAGTGTTGACCGATTTGTAAAGCGGACCCATGATGACGTGGTCAGTGGGGCAGCCGTCCGAGTCGATCAAAACAATCTCACTGGAGTCGACGCCGTCCATGGCGACCAGCTCGCGGACGAAGATCTCGTACGGGCTGTTGGGGTCGAGGATCTCGAATTTGAGCGCCAAAGGATCGCCGACCTCGGCGGAGGGGATAGCTTCGTTTCCGCTGCGATCGGTAATCTTCATGGCGACGTTCGGCGAGTCGACGATCACCTCCTCCGAGAGAGCGGGCGTGATGTCGCCGTGCACGCCAAGATCGACCTCGTTGGACACGGTCTTGTTAGTGAGGTCGTACTGGCAAGTCACAGCCAGGCCGAGATCGGAGCTGGTGACAATGGTGTCGTGATGCTGGATGATCACGTCGTTCAGGTACCGGCCGAGGCCCTGCTGCCTTATGTTACACTCGAGATCGTCGTACGCCATGCGAAGCTCGAACTCGAGCGCGCCCTTGATGTCCTGCACGCACGAGTTGGGCGAGCCCTTCGCGTAAACCTTGCCGTAGAAGAGCTTGCTCGTCTGAATTCGGGTCACCATGTCGCCGGCGCGGCAGTCGATGGTCACGTTGTAGCAGGAGCTCAGCTCGTACGTGGACGCTTCCGGTACGTCGAGGTACGGATCCTGAAATTATCGTTTATTTTCGGCCCGTTATTCATCGCTCGCTCCCACCAAGTATACCATATTCGATATATATATCGCGCGTTAATGCGATTTGTCACGGTATTAATTTAAAGGAATTATAACGGGCGACACAATGGTAAATTCCAAAATACAGATATTTCGCAAAGCACGGATATTTCGCAATTAAACTTCGCAAAGCTACTACCCCGACCGATTTATTCATCACTCTTCTATTTTGCTCGCTTCACCATGGTTGGGAGATTTTGATAGCTTGCATCGGGCTTACACAAAAACTTCCAGAGAATTTATGACGAGAATCGAACAACGAACGAAAAGAGTACATCGAAAAATTCCGTTAAACCGTACTGTATATTGGGGTCTTCAGTGATATAGTTCGCATAGCAATTATATTACGATATTCGACAACGCGCACACATCCTGAATAGGAGCGCGTGAAATCGGCAATTTACACAGAAAATATCTCGTCAGAGCTTTTTTCAAATACAGAATTTTTGTCTGTCGAAAAATTCTAAAAGGAAGTAGGTGATTGAATTGATTTTCATTTCTGATGCAATATATTACGCGAAATGAGAATATATAACTTTATTTGTACAAATAATTAACCATGTTCTTTATTCTCCAAATCTAAAACGTCGCGTTTCAATCTATTCGATGCGATACATCAAAAACCAATAATTATCAATAATATATATATATATATATGTATAAATATATATATATATATATATATATATATATGGATGCATTTTCATTTATATCGAACGGAATGATAATCCGCTCTGATTCACGCGCTTGTCACTTTCAAAGAATTATTTGAAATCCCTTTATACAACGCTATTTATCGCTCCTCGTTCGAGACTCGATGGTCCTCTACGATGAAACAAATTATTCGCGGATATTACGCTGATAAATACTCTTGACGTTTCGCGCTATCGCCACAGTTAATAATTTGTATATTTGTGGAGATGCCGCTGATGTGCTTGCGTAACCACCCATAGAGCCCGTCACGGATCCCACGCACACGATCATCTTCCCATTACACATATTATTTGCTCATCTCCGAGTGAATAATCGCGCGTGAAACCCGTATATGGCCGTCCATATACTGCGACGTTGAAATGATATTCCGATTCGGTTCACGCTGTTTAAATATTCCACTACAACGATTATTCGTACGAAGAATTGTTTAATTCCCCGCTATTGGTATTTGTTTCCGTATATTCGTCGCGCTGTGGCGGTGTGCGCAAAAAGGTGCTGCCGATAATCGAACCCGACGAATTGGTGGTCGCTAAATTTTTCTTTTGATTTTCTCCCGGGACACCGAATGCGATTCACATTCGGTCGAGCTCGGGTAGTTCGATAGGGAAAGCGTCTGCGATGAAAACTCGATTTTCCACGAATGCGCCCTCGGCGGATTGTTCAACTCCGATTTGCATGTGTGCGACGTAATCGCATTTATAGAAAATCCCCACCGGGCCTTTCAAGAATCCCGCACTGCGATGCGGCGAGCGAAACGACGCGCGGTGGTCGCAAAGCTGCGCGCGGAACTCTATTTTAAACACTCCCGATGAATTAAACCGCATACGGCAAACTCAGCAAGTAAATCGGGAACGCGACAATGTCCGTTTCTCGCGCGTATAGCAACAATTTCAGTTTCGCTTCGCGAAATTCAATTCGCGAAAGTTTTTCCTCACAAACTTAAACTCGCTGCCGCTGGTATAAATTGTGTAGATTATATTCGCGTGATGATTTCGCATCACTGAGGAGCTCGAATTTCTTACCTGAATGTCGGAGAGGGTGGCGCGGGAATGATGACTGAGACGGCAGACCATGTCACCGGTGTCACCGTAATCGTAGGAGTGACAGCGGAACGGCGAGTTCAGGCACAATTCGCGGCACTCGTCGGACGTGCCGACGTCCTGGTAAACGGAGTCCACGGTCTTCAGTATGCGGCCGGTCAGCTTCTTGAACTCGCAGAGTTTCACTGGCTCCTCCACGCAGTGGTTTTCCAAATAATCCACACCCTTCGCCGCCTGGAAGGCGCTCGAGCCGGCGACCGTCAGCCTGTCCATATCCGAGAGCTCGCACTGCTTGGTACCGTTGATATAATTAGCGGATCTGAAATTCAAACGAAACATTTTCATGAAGAACTCGTCGCGTAGGGACATCAATTAGTTTCTTATCTACGAACGATTTCGAGTGCGCGACTTGTATTGTAAAAAAAATTAATGGTTATTATTTCGAAGCAATTAAGCGTCTTCAGATAAACTATGCCCATAAATATACGACGTGTGCGTATATTGCTTCTAGTCATTAAATGCACGGCGTTCGGACGATTATATAGCGTAAGAGAGAAATGCGGTCCCGCTTCGTCTCTCCTGCGATAAAAATATATCGCAGGGAGGACGCACATGCTCTCGGTTGTTGCGGTCATCATTCCGTGCTAATCCCGGAAAGCGAGTTATAAAGGAAACACCCACGCACGAACGAATCCGAGTCGCGCCGGATTCCGTTTCTAACGGGGACACGCGGGATCCGCACGTAAATCCGCGTCCGCCGGAATAATTGCTTTCCGCCCGCGTTTTACTGGATCGTAATAATGCGTGGTTAATAATACTGAACGGAGCTAAGCGAGGAGTAATTGAGAAAAACGAAGAAAATTAATTTGCCAATGCTAATCCTTGGGAGAGAGAAGTGTCGTTGCATTGTTCATTCTCATCTCTCTCTTCCACGCCTGCATGCCGCGTTCTGGACCGCGCGAATATCGAACGCCCAACGTGTCGAAACGGAAAGATTACGGCACAATAATTTTCCCAACGTTTTGCGGAGTTTTATCTCAACGCTGAGCACGATCTAACGGCTTGAATAGCAGCACCCGACAAATCGCGCGTCTACTCATCCATAATTATGGACATATGGATGATGGAGTGACGTTCACATTAACGTTTCAAGCGCTGTATAAACGGTACGCGATACATTGACGTCTATGATCGATTGGCACTTGAATCTGTGAAATTCCTATTTAATTAAATTACACGAATCGGTTAACGTTCCCTGAATAATTTATCTTGATTAGGCTGGAACAACGTGATTTCGTCGAAACGGTTTATGAGTCCAAAAGAAACGCATTTGCGAATAAATTTTTTTATCGAGTAGCGTAACTTATTTACCAGTTTTGAAAATCGATAGAAGTCCCGGACATGATAGAAGATCTGAATCATGAGAGTTACATTCATGGCCGCAAAAATATTTATCCCGAGCCTGCATTGATAACAGACATTATACAATGTTGTCCTGTAAATATTTGTTTTTCGACTTCGTAGATATCAGTTGGGGGACTGATAGTATTTTATTGCGCGCGATACATGGGGTTCAGTCAACAGAATATTTTGTCATATTTTTTATTGATGTCTTTCTCTATATTTATCACATCGCGATTTTACTCTTGTGTTCACAGAGTAGTTAGTGGAGGCTCGGTCGTAATAACGGAACATTTTGTATGAATAGTTGATTTATGACTTACGATTTTAAGAACGCAGCATCTCACGCGTACCTAATGTAACTTAATATTAGATAGTCTAACAGTTATAATATACGACTCTGTGCGCGTCGTGTAACGTTCAAAAGTTAAAAAAAAATACGCAATGAGCTAAGCCTAGGCTCGTAATTTAATTCTATTGAAACAGGTATTTTTTTGCGAACGAGAGTTCTCGAATTTCAAGGTTAATTACAATCTTGTTTTTCCCGAACCCATAATTTTGCAAATTGACGGAGAAGCGCGCGGATGGTAAAGATGTATAGAGCCCGCCGTCTATTAGATTTATTAGAACATGAGCGGTCGCATTCTTGACGCAACCGCAACCGCCTTCGTTCACTTCATTTCGCATCCGCTCCGATGTATATAGCGCGCACGAACGCATGTTCGACATGCTTTCAAAACGGGAATCCGGGTAAAATTGCGGCTCCGATCTTTTGTATCTCCGAGATCACGTCTTCACCTCCGGCTACACTCTCTCTCTCTAATCCCAGGATTAGATATTCCCCGCGTTGAACTGTTGAACATTCCCCAGATAATCCGGGGATAGTTTCCGTCTTCGGGGCGAGACATCGAAAGTCATTACCATCCTTTTCTCCTTCCGGGGAAGAAAGAACCGGAAAAACTAAGTAGCGAAAAGGCAGTGAGGAGTTTCTTCGTCGCGACGTGCTCAGGTGCGCGACCGGCATCATCATCGGAACCGAAGTTCGTCCTCCGGACTGCCATCCGGAGCGAGTCGCGGCGGGGGCGGCGGCGGGGGGAGAGGGAGCGAAAGCTGTTCCCGCAGGTCCCGGGCGCCGTCGGGAGAGAGAGACCGCCAAATTTATTCCACGTCGCTCCATCGATTTCGGATTATATTGCCTTAAGACCTGAATAATATTCATGGGTGCCACGTTATGATTTCAATATTCCCCGGGGGTTCCGCCGCGGCGGAGACGAAGTCGAAAAATCACCGCGGCCTTATGCGGTCGGGCGCGATAAACCCCGAGGCTCGGTCGAGAATATAATCGAATCGGCGCGGCTGCGGCGACGGCTGTCTGTTGCTCCCGCGATTATCGATGTGTCCTCCACCGTACGTCTTTACCGTATTCCATCCCTCCGCGTATTCCATCCTCGCCACGTTGCGAATCACCCACCATCGGGGGAGAGGCACGAATATGAACGTTTTGCGCGCACACCGCAACAATGCCCCGCAGTAAAATCGACGACGCGAAATGAATGGGTCACGAAAAATCCGTCGGCCCAGCTTTGTTTCACGGCGCTGGTGCATCAAATGTATGTATGTGCTCGGATGAATGTTTGCTCGTTAAATCAACAAGTTTCGGTTCAATTGTTCGTGATTCAAACACAATAATTGTCCGATGGTGCACGCCCCTCATCCGCGTCCCTCGTCGCCTCTCGTCGGCGCAATACGTCGTTTATTGTTCATTTTATATGCAGATTCGGACAATCACTTTTATTGCAAAATTATTTTTAATCCGCTCACTGATTGCACCTCGTTGATTATATACACGCACACGGAAAGATTTCTCGTTCGCGCTCTCCGCTGATGAAGATATCGAATCACGCCACGTTGGAAGCGTCTCATTATCGTCGACGCGCAAAAACTATTAAGAAAGGCTCGCCTCAAAGCTCGTTGCCGCGAGCTGTGGCGTAAGAAAGGTTACAGTGATGCTACTGAGTTGGAAATGTACTGGGATATTATAAAAACAACGTTGAAATCGTAACTAACGAGTTGCAGTAAGTTGCAACGAACACGGTAGTGTCGCTAACGATGATGGAGTGTGCCAATCATTCTTGCAAAACTAAAAGCCACAATATACCATGCAGCAGTTTTTCAAATGCATTTCCCAAAGTTTATCTCGCGCTATTAATTATAGACAGGTTATTACGAGGACGAGAACGACAATTATTTTTAATCCCGATAATTATCATATACGTCGAATTGTTTAGACATCAAAATAATTGCGGTGAAAGATTAAATTTTTATGAGATTTATATGTCACTTTGCACAATGAACACTTTATACCGTGAAATGTATCTATTCTGCGGACAGGCTGACATTACAACGATCATGTTACGTTATACGTTTATAGAGCGACAAGATTTATTGCACCGTCCGCGCGATGAATAATGTACCACGAAAAGTAGAGAGAATTACATGTATATTTAAAGCCAATTCACTTTTTCACCTTATGGATTAGGAGAGAAATGAAGGTGAGTTGTCCTATTTGTGAAAATATGCCCGTGGTGTGTATCTTGGCTCGCCGAAGCATCGATTCCGCAATTTTATGGGGGGCTACTTTTAGGGGTGGCTATACTTATGAGGTAGCCGAAGAGAAACCTTCTCGTTTCGTAAAACATCTTGCTCGCCCGTATATCGTCAAGCTAACTTCTTGGGGTGGCATTATCGTCGAGAGCCCTCTACTTAGAGAGAAACGCGAGGAGATACGGCCACTAAAGTCCGGACCCCTCAAAGTTTAGTTTGGATAGGCGAGTCGGTATCTCTCGCGGTAAATAATTAATGGATAAAAGGGTAAAAGCACGTATACACATCGTGTCCCGAACTTCATCGCATCTTCCTCCAGCCGCCGTTTGCCTATCGGCCAATTGAGGTTGATTTTTCTTAGCAAAAATTTAATTGAATCTTCCTCACTATTTCTAATATTCAACATTATTATATTTCTATACAACTGACTTTGAGATTAAAATATCAAAATTAAATGAAGGACTGTTATTTATTTACAATTTAATTCACGAAGGAACTTCTAGATCCAATCATTTGTGGATAAAAAAAAATATATTTTTATTAAAAGGAAGTTTTCGCCAAAGAGGCAAAGGAATCTTATTAGGCGAGGATATATTATAGGGAACAATCAGTATTCGACATGCCTTCCTCTGTTTCACGACTGGAATTTCCTGTTATACCTGCGACGCGAGCAACGCGACGAGCCGGCTGAAGATTTGGCGCTGCAGCGCGAGACAGGGAGAGATACGACGGTAAAGCCGAAAGTCTATTGCGCAACGATAAAGCCTCCTCTGATTTTCTTTCCTCGATTCGGGGACAAAAGATATCCGGCGCTCGTCTCGTACAACTTAGAGAGTAAACCCTCGAGGGAAATTTTAACCTTCCAGGCAGATGTTAAATGCGAAGTTAACTGCGACGGGACGACATTCCCGTCTGTCTCTCTTCCCTTCGACTCGGCTCCCCCTTTTTCCTACCCCTTGACACTCACTCTCCTTCTGTCTCCGTATTGTCGCTCTATCGTAATTCTCTTTCCGCACTTCCACGTCGTACCGTTCCGAACAAATGGCGAGACAAAAAAAGACAGGCCGGATCAAGCCGGCACGAAAGGGGGGCGAAGACGAAGAGGGTGAGCGCGGCGCGACGTCGCTGTGCCGGTGATGGTGGAAAAGAATTACAAGCGGTTCGCCCCGCTGCATCTCGATGAATCTCAAATTATTCTTCGTCCGCGCGTCTGCCGCGAAGACAACCGAAGAGAGAGAGAGAGAGGGGGGAGGGAGAGGGAGCGGTATATATGTGTACATACCCTCTATATTGAAAGACGTCAATCGTAAAAAC